TGCCGTGGCCTAGGTTTCTCACTGAAAATCCTAGTCCCCCGGCGGCACCTTTTTTTGAATTTTCTTCCTTTTCAACGGCGTTTTTTGGGAATTTCGGATTTTTTTTGAATTTTTTCGCAATAATATTCGGAAAATAGATAACTTTTAACTTATTTTAATTTAATGCAATAAAAGTTTTTGGTCGGAGTCCCCCTATAAAATGTGAATCTATATGATTTTCTGCTAAAAAAACCAACCATTCTCTTTGACAACAGCCATTAGCGTGCTCATGAAGGATCCTCCACCGGTGACCTGCATTCTCGATTTGACAACATCCGCCGGATAAATCGACGTCCAGAGTGCCATTCCACCTACAGACCCCGCCATCGCCGTCTTCACCAATCCAATCTCATCCTTCTTCTGCCCCTCAGCAGTCAACAAGTACCGACATGTCTCGTAGGCACCGAAGAAGAAAAAATATCCAGGAACCTCACGAGCCAGTGTCGGTGTCATACCAACGAAGAATCCACGTACACCGGTCGTCTTCATGATATCCCGACAAACAGAAAACGGGGTGCACTTTTGTTTCATCTCGCGAGCCGCTTGCAGTTTACACTTCACCAATTCCGTTGGGCAGAGTACTGTAGCCGCGAAAACAGCAGCTAGGGATCCGGAGAAGGCGTTCTCCAGTGGCGTCATTTGCTTAACGTCTTCTAGTCCGTTCAACGTGGCAATCGTCTTCTGACAATAGCCATAAGCAGTGAAGAGGACAGCGTTTTCAGCGACATTCGCAGCGAGAGCAGGAAGGGTTCCTGTAAATAAAATATATGATTTTTGAAAAATGTTACAATTACAAACCAGCATAAAGTCCTCGAACTCCGTCCAACTTATAGGTATCCTTCAGGCACACCACCCAGTTCGAATAGAGATTTGGAAACGTTTGTACTTTGACTTTAACTGTATCCAGGGGTTGTCCAGCATAGACATTCGCAATTCCTCCGGCTGTTCCGGCCAATAAATCGATAATTCCATCCTTGAAATGGCTGGCGCCAGCGGTTGGGTCACCGGTTTTATCGTCTCCGCCTCCGTGCATTTTTTGTCAGAAACTCCTGAAAAATTGGTGAAAATCGTATTATTCTGGGACAGAAGAATGGAAGGTCCCACAACGACAACTACCGTAACCTAAACTCGATTTTCGGATATTTCCAGTCAGAAAAATGACAGAAAATTCAAGAAAATACGTCTTGAAAACGTATTTTCTTATATTAAAAGAAAGTGTTTCGATTTTTTCGGCCAGTTTCCGAAGACTAATGGTTGGAGGCGGCCTAAATTTAGGGGACCTTCGAAGCAAAATAGAGCTTTGGAATTTTCAGCATTTTTCTAATTAAATCCTATTTTTGATTCACCCTAAATATATCATTTTGGAAGCTAAATTCCAAAAAAAAAGCCAATTTTCACGACCTCAAAAAAAATCTCAAAAAACACTCAAATTTCCCAAAAATCGCTCATATATGAAGGAGACGAAAATAACTGCGTTTTGTGTTCAAACACATTATACTATTTTATAGTTTCGTCGTCTAATTTTCTTCAACTTGCAAGAAAAAAAGAAATGGGAAATAGAAACGTTTGTGTTTTGCAGGATGATGCAATTTTGAGAGAGAAGAAAGCTCTATTGGCAAAAGGGGCAAAATTGAAAGTTTTTATAAAAGATCAGAGAATTTATAACAATCCGAATCTGAAAATCGGAAAACTGGGAAATTTCAACATTTTGAGTATTTTTTTTGAGGTCCCGAAAATTTCTTTTTTTTTGTAATTTTTGTAATTAGCTCGCAAAATGATTTTTTTAAGGTAAATCGAAACCGGGAAACACAATGGTATCAAAATGCGAGAAAAATTCCGAAAATCCCAAAATTTTCGAAATTCCGAAAAACCAGAAAATTCAGAAATTCAGATTTTGAAGAAATTTTTTTCTAAAATTCTTGAAATTACAGAAATTCATTCTGATATTCAGATTTTGGAGTAAAACATTTTAAATTCTGAAATTCAAAAAATTCCAAAATTTTCGAAATTCCGAAAAGCCAGAAAATTTTGAAAATCCAAAACATCAGAAAATCAAAATTTGGAAATTCGAAATTCAAAAAATCTAAATTTTCAAACAAAAATCTCAGCTAGAAAATTTCAAAAATTCCGAAAATTCTGTAATTCGAATAATCCTAAAAATCCAGAAATTGAACATTTAAGCAGCTCGAAATTCGCTACTAAAAATTCCAAATTTCTTCCATGTTTGAATCCGAAGCCAGGTAAATTTAAACGGTTCAGCAAACAAAAAAGTGTGTTTCAATAAAAAATAAGATGAAACAAGGAAAAAAAAGAGAAAGTTTTATCATATCACTTCTTCTTCTTCTTCTTCCCGATCATGATCCAAAACAGTCTCGTCTTCCTCCACGTGAGACACACTTTTAGTGATAGGATAGTGATTTGATCTGACACGTGGGGGAAAAAGCTTGGCATAGAAGAACCTGATGATGTCAGGTGCCTTCTATGGATGACTATGAACTTTGGAACACATGAGGATTCGCTAGATTAAAGATTAAAATGTCCAAAAAAAAGACTGTAAATGATTAAAATAAGGCCAGAAAGCCAAGGAGAACGAAAACTAAGAACAAATACAATAAAAGGTTATAAATGAACGCTGCGATTTATTGAGTCAGAATGATGCGGTGAGACAAATGTCGTTCACGCTTCTAAAGATAAAAAGAATACATTATTCGGGAGGGGACAAAAAGAGATTTCACAGAAAATTTGAACTGGGAAAAAGCGAAAAAAAAGAGAAGAGAAAAAATAATAATTAAATAGAGACCCGGGTTGAAGGCAAAACGAAATATCGACAAATGAAAATCCATATATAACACAGTAAGTCAAAATGAGCTAGATGGACGACAGAAGCTTCTGCGATACAATCTCATAGGCCATCCGTTTTCTGTAGTACGGCATGTTCTTTTGCGTGAATCGAGGCAGCGTTCGTCGCGATGCCCACTCGCCAAACTGACACGAGAAAACGCCACAGTCACTTCCGTTTTGTTGACGAGGGATGTCCTGTAAAACAACCGGATGTTTATCTAGGCAATCTTGGTATTTTGTTTTTGAAAAGTTGAGTTATTGTCAAAAAAAACTGTCATCTGAGAACTTGGGAATTTGTAAGCCGTCGCTTCAACGAGGCTCCGCCCCCAAATCGGTACGGTACCAGTACAGTGATTTTTTTTCCAGTAGCAAGCG